TCAATATTTCAAATATCATGAATTTCATCATAACCTGATAAATATTACAAATACCATGAATTTCATCATAACCTGATCAATATTTCAACTATCATGAATTTCATCATAACCTGATCAATATTTCAACTATCATGAACATCTACATAAGTCTGATTAAAAGCTTCAACTATTATAAATATCTCCATAAACTTTTTTCAACAATTTTTCATCACAAATGTCTCTATAAAAGTGATCGCTAATTCAACTATCATGAATAATATCTTCATAAATTTGATCAATACTTTAACTGTCAGGAATGTTTCTTTCACAATAGAAATCTATACCTGCTTCATGTCGCCATGTACATATAAGGCATTCACAAGTGATCTCCCTTGCTGCTAGTCTGCTGCTTTTCTGCCAATGGTAACCCATGTCATTTTATATCTCTCGTTTCCTTTTCTACTGTCCTTCTTCAGGTTTCCTTTGGTCATCCATGTCTCCTTGTCCCATTCATTGGAGAGCTGTCAGGAGGCATTCTGCAAGCATGTCCAAGCCATCTCCATCTTCTTCATTTGATAATATTTGCTAGTTATTAACATTTTGTTTTCCTCTTTGAGTTCTTCATCTGTGACATTATTTGGTCAAAATATTTTAAGGATTCTCAATTCTGAAAAATCTCTAGTTCCTGTGTAATTCCTGGTGTATTTTTTCAAATTTTATCATATGATTTGAAGTCAATAAGCAAGTCACAAATGGTCGTTTAGAAACAAAAACTAAAGATAATAACTTTAAAACCGCTTATTTTTACACATATGATGTTCCTTAATTTTTCAACATAATTTCCAACAACACTGATGCACTTGTCACATTGTTTTATTAGTCCTCCCAGTCCTGAATAGAACTGTGTGCTCTGTTTTGTAAACCACACTTTTACTTCACATTCAACTTCTGCATCATTCGTGAAATTTCCCCCGCCAAGGTGGGTTTTCAGTGGACCAAAAAGGTGGAAATCGCTAGGGGCTTAGTCAGGGCTGTAAGGTGGATGTTCCAGAAGTTTCCCACCCTAGATAGTTAATTTTTAGCTGAGTTAACCGAGCCATATGTCATGAAGGAGCAGTGCTCCTCTAGTCAGCAGACCTGGATGTTTTCTTCAAATTGCACCATAAAGCATCAATATAACTTTACAGTATGAATGAATATTACCAATGTCAATTTTTTTTTTGAAATTCATTAAAAGCACTCATTTTTGTTCGTCTGCTAATTGTATCCACCTTGAGCACACTTTCTTAAATTTCAGTTGATCATGCGTTATGTTGTATGCTGAATCATGTGAGCACTCTAATGAAGATGCTACAGAGTCAACCGTTATTCGCCTGTCACCCCTAATTATCTCCTTCACCCCCTGCATTGATGCATCTGTTGCATTCTCAACAGGACGACCAGATCAGACTTCATCAACAATTTTAGAGCGTCCTTGAGAAAATTTTATTTACCCAGCTGTGCACCGCTTTATGGGATAAACATTTGTCAGCATAAGCAAGAAACATTTCCCTATCAATATCATTTGCAGGCAGCCCTTTTGCCCAAAACCAAAACACACATCAGCACGTTGTTCTTTGAGGGTATACTCCTTAAGTACAGTTGCCACTTAGTTTCTCTGATGCCAATTTGCATGCAATAGTTAGCCTCAGTGGTAGAGATCACGAGGTCACTGCAAGGGTGGCCTGATACCTATTGTGGGGGGGGGGGGGGGCCTGAGAAATGTATTCCATTTAATACTTCACTTTGTTCAGGTTTGCTGATTATTCCCTTTATATATCTTGATATGTTTGAGTAGGCATAATTGACAATTTTTACATTAACAAGACTGGCATCAAACAGGGTACCACAGAGAGCAATGCTATAGAGATACTGCGGTAACTGAGCTCGACGTCGACCATGCAGAATATGGACTGCAGAAATATCAGAGACAATGAAAAGTACTTTATACAAAGCAAACAGTAGAGGCTGTGCCAGAGATCTCTTCCTGCCCTGAAGCCTGGCATTCAAGGAGTAGAGAAAAGAAGAAAGAAAAGATACATTATATTTATTAGTGACCTGTTTAATATTGTTGAAAAAAAAAATTGGGGGAGGGGGGTAAAGATGCTTTTTTTTTTTTAATTCCCAGAACAATAGGGTTAGATACTTCAGTAACAATCAACTGGCAATGTTCTTGAAAGCACAAAAACAAATTTTTTTTTAAAATCACCAACACATCAAAATAAACCAATCCAATTTAAAAATGATAATGTGATTATTGAACTTCACTGCCCAGTGTGGGTGAAAGAAAGAACAGATTTACTGCCCCTTAACCAGCACATCACAAAGATATCTGGATGGTAAGTCAACAGGTCAAAATCCCTAATACCCTGTTTAACCTCATAGGAAGTGAAAACCTGTATTGGCTACAGCAGTCAACAATCATGTAGGCGTAAGGATAGTTGACCCCAAAGTAATAAATTATTTCCATGGATAAAGCAAAGATATGTATGAAAATAAAAAAAATACATACATTTTTTTTTTAAACATATGGCAGACATCTAAATGATTTAATAATAACTGCATGTGTATATTAATCCGCCTTCTGCATTCATCCTCAAAAGGATAGTCAGCACACTGTGTTGCAGTTAAGTTAGGTTGTGAAATCTGTGCCTTTAAATCACACACCAGTTAGGTTGTGATATCTGTGCCTTTGGGTGACACACTAGTTAGGTTGTGATATATGTGCCTTTAAATCACACACTAGTTAGGTTGTGATATCTGTGCCTTTAAATCACACACTAGTTAGGTTGTGATATCTGTGCATTTAAATCACACACTAGTTAGGTTGTGATATCTGTGCCTTTAAATCACACACTAGTTAGGTTGTGATATCTGTGCCTTTGGGTGACACACTAGTTAGGTTGTGATATCTGTGCCTTTAAATCACACACTAGTTAGGTTGTGATATCTGTGCCTTTAGGTCACACACCTGTTAGGTTGTGATATCTGTGCCTTTAGGTCACACACTAGTTAGGTTGTGATATCTGTGCCTTTAGGTCACACACCTGTTAGGTTGTGATATCTGTGCCTTTAGGTCACACACCTGTTAGGTTGTGATATCTGTGCCTTTAGGTCACACACCTGTTAGGTTGTGATATCTGTGCCTTTGGGTGACACACTAGTTAGGTTGTGATATCTGTGCCTTTAGGTACAACACTAGTTAGGTTGTGATATCTGTGCCTTTAGGTCACACACTAGTTAGGTTGTGATATCTGTGCCTTTAGGTCACACACCTGTTAGGTTGTGATATCTGTGCCTTTAGGTCACACACCTGTTAGGTTGTGATATCTGTGCCTTTAGGTCACACACCTGTTAGGTTGTGATATCTGTGCCTTTAGGTCACACACCTGTTAGGTTGTGATATCTGTGCCTTTAGGTACAACACTAGTTAGGCTGTGATAGCTGCGCCTTTAGGTCACACACTAGTTAGGTTGTGATAGCTGCGCCTTTAGGTCACACACCTGTTAGGTTGTGATATCTGCGCCTTTAGGTACAACACTAGTTAGGCTGTGATATCTGCGCCTTTAGGTACAACACTAGTTAGGTTGTGATAGCTGCGCCTTTAGGTACAACACTAGTTAGGCTGTGATAGCTGCGCCTTTAGGTACAACACTAGTTAGGTTGTGATAGCTGCGCCTTTGGGAGATACACTAGTTAGGTTGTGATATCTGCACCTTTGGGAGATACACTAGTTAGGTTGTGATATTTGCACCTTTGGGAGATACACTAGTTAGGTTGTGATATCTGCACATTTGGGAGATACACTAGTTAGGTTGTGATATTTGCACCTTTAGGTCATGCATTAGTTGGTCTGTGATATCTGCGCACTAGTTAGGTTGTAATATCTGAGCATTTAGGTCACACACTAGTTAGGTTGTAATATCTGAGCATTTAGGTCACACACTAGTTAGGTTGTAATATCTGAGCATTTAGGTCACACACTAGTTAGGTTGTAATATCTGAGCATTTAGGGCACACACCTGTTAGGTTGTAATATCTGAGCATTTAGGTCACACACTAGTTAGGTTGTAATATCTGAGCATTTAGGTCACACACTAGTTAGGTTGTGATAGCTGCGCCTTTAGGTCACACACTAGTTAGGTTGTGATAGCTGCGCCTTTAGGTCACACACTAGTTAGGTTGTGATAGCTGCGCCTTTAGGTCACACACAAGTTAGGTTGTGATAGCTGCGCCTTTAGGTACAACACTAGTTAGGTTGTGATAGCTGCACCTTTAGGTACAACACTAGTTAGGTTGTGATATCTGTGCCTTTAGGTCACACACTAGTTAGGTTGTGATATCTGTGCCTTTAGGTCACACACTAGTTAGGTTGTGATAGCTGCGCCTTTAGGTCACACACTAGTTAGGTTGTGATATCTGTGCCTTTAGGTACAACACTAGTTAGGCTGTGATAGCTGCGCCTTTAGGTACAACACTAGTTAGGCTGTGATAGCTGCGCCTTTAGCAAACCCTTAAACAGTCACTTTTTACAAGTTTCTTGTTGAGGTGGGAGTGGGGTGTCTTTTCTTCCCCAGACCCTCCCTTCCTAAAATGTGAGTCCCGGGAACTGAAGATAAAGGTGCCAATCTAAGTGAGTTTGCTATAAGAATCAATATCTACATTCTTATTGTAGCTATTTACCTCCCCCAGTTACAATTTCCAATTTGATACAGCAAATTAATACTATAAATCTTCTAATACTGAAAACTGTGAATGATCCCCTCTAAGATCAATAACCACTAAAACAAGTCAGCATGAATTAACCCCCTGTACTTCAAAACCACAACTGCTTAAAGATTCAATATTTACAAATCTTCTAATTCTGAAAAATGTGACAGATTTCCTCCTTACAGCTAAAAACAATAACGATTAAAACAAATCAGCAGGAATTAACTCCTTATCGAAACAACAACTGCTAACAAGAAGACTTGTGAATAAAATCAAGATTGTGTGTCATCTACTCTGTCTGCGATCCCCACTAAGTAGCCCTTGAGCTCACTAGCATAATCTCCTGGATCAGTTTTAGCAGTCAGTACCCATGTGTCGTCAGCCCCCGACACCCGGGACCTACACAAGGGACAGTTGCTGTGCTGCTGATCTCTGAAACAGAAATTGGTCATGTGATTTATTGTATGCATATTCATTTTTTTTAAATAGTACTACAAGTAAAAGAAATATTGCATAATGATCTTTCCAACTTCTTTTTTTTTTTTTTTTTTTTTGCTACTCTCTGACATTCAGCAAAACATATTGATTACTTAATACTTATTCATGTTATGAAATGTAGCTTTTTGTGTGGCATATTTTGTTGTGAAAATTCTGTAATGAAAATAGAAGAGTTAGAAATGTGAAATTTTCACAGATGTTTTTGGGGTGTTGCAGTGGCCATGATAAAGCGACCCTTACAAATATAACTTCTTTACAGATTAAACAAGGTATCTTGGATTTGTCATCTTGCTTTGCTATCCAGGATGATGTTCTCATTGTCTCAAGGATTACAACCACTACATAATCATCAAAATGATGATGATGATGAAACCTTTCAGAAGAAATAACAACGTTGACAAGTTTTAAATTTGCATAATTTATATCCTCCTACATACATTAATGAAACTTTGAAACAGAACAGGCCAAACAAAAGCTGCATTTCAGAACATGAAAAAGTATCTTATGCCATCTGTAATTATTGCTGACTAACAGAATGAGTACAAACTACTGTATCAAATCAATTCTGTTGCAATGATTGCTGGCATGTGAATGAAAAAACTGGCAAGGTATATAACGTGTGTCCTCATATGGGTTCTGGGATCCCATTTTTGAAGAAACCAAGGGGTGATATGGGAAGGGCCAAGTCACACAATGGGTAAACGTGGTCAATATCACTTAAGCTATCTTTACTTCTGATAATCTTTCCCCGATTTCCCTTTTTTAGTCGTCAGACAAGGATCCCAAGTTATTATTTTAAAATCTGCTTTGATATCCATTATATGGCAGGCAAGCATGTCAGTTGGTCTGTCATGCATTGTAGGCAACCATCAGTCCTTAGGGACCATGTAGCTGGGCAATGATTCTAGGCAACAACATCTGCAATGATTGTAAAGTCTTATGCGGGGGTGGCAAGACACTGCCACATTGTCCACGTAAAAAGTGTTGACACTCTATAACACTGAGGCTGGTTTTCTCTCAGACATCTCCTCTCTCTAGTGTCCTGGTTTAGCTTCTTGTAAACTGCAGTAGCCTGTCTTTCACAGTCTCCCACCATCCGAGTTGGTCTGTAGCTGATCTCTCCCAAATGTGTGTCAATGTTTGTATATACAGGTGTATTTGTCCTTATAGTATAGCCTTGACCTTCTTACAGATCTCTTCCCATGACTGTCATGGCTGTATCCTAATCTCCCTGTAATTCGGTTCGATTGGCACCTTTCTGTCTTTCCAGACGATAGTGTTATATTGCGCTATGGGGAGGCATGGGACTCAGAGCCCATGGCGATGGCGAGTGTGACTAGCAAGACCAGCCCGCGTCAAGAAAAGTCTTCTACACTGATAGCATGGGATTTCAGGACCATTGTTGTCAACATTTGTGTTTAATCCGTTTCTTTTCAGACGCTCAGCTCTCATCCTTTCTGCAATCATTTTTTCCTTTACTCTCATTCCCTTCCTGATACGCCCTTTCCACACAACATGGTCCATGGTATTTTGTTCCCATGAGTGCACCTCAATACATGTATCATTCATGTCCCGCTTGCAATCTACCTATAACCCAGCTCATAACTGACTGCAGATTATGTCTGATGTTTACATGGTTGAACACCTGCAGCTCAGGCATTGTGTATGTCTTTTATAATTCCAGGGTGCCGGATGATCCCAGCTGTCTGTAATTTGGCAGCAGACTGTCTTGCCTTGGTTTGAACAATGGTATCAAAAGCTGACTGTGCTGAGGCAATGGCCTTTACAGGACGCTGCAGAACCAACCCCAGAATTTTTAGGCCGTTTGTGATTTCTCTAGGCAAATTTTTTTTTTTTTTAATTCATTTAGTAGTTTGCTACTGCCTACTGAACAGTCAGCTCTCGAAGTGTCTTCACAACATCTAAGCCATAGAAACCAACCTCAACACACAACGAAACCACTACAAACACAATAAACACATACTTTGTCCAGCTGTCAATGCATGCCTCACAGAACTCATGACAACAGGACAGCATAATACAGGCTTTTCTGTCCATACACACACAACATTCATTTTCTGAGTCCTCTTCATCATTGTCTGTTTTATCTGGACTATATAAGGAAAACAAAATAACTGTATTAACTATTCTGTGAGCAAATTATTTATCTGTCATCTTCTAATTACCACAAATTATAATGCAGTTCCCCGCCATCCCCCATTTTTTTTAACCCTCCTATTCCTCTTCTCCTCCATTTATGAACATATTTTTAATCAGTCTTCTTTCTTAAGTAGCAGTGTGTCCCATATGTACGGGGCTGAGTGGTCTTGAGGCATGGTGTCTGCTTTCGAGTGCTGGAAGTCCTGCGTTCAAGCCCCAGTGAAGGCTCAGGATTTTTTCACTTGGATTTCTAGTAATTTCTCTTGGTCTCTGGGTAGTAAGATCAGACGCCCGTGTATTGTTGCGCACGTAAAAAAATCACTTAGCAGTTGGAAATCAAACAGAGTAGCCCGGGCTAAATATGGAGCTAAAAATCTACCCAAAAGTATTTCAGGATCCCCGCCGGTGCTACGGAGTTCGTACATTGCACTGAGATTCTTCCGACAGGCTTGAGTCAGAAGTAGAATGGAGAACTTGTGGGTTACTATCCTGGTGCCATATTGTTGATTTGTTGCATAAACCAACCAAACCATATGCGACCATACACTGGAAAATCAACACATCACCAACACCATAACAAGCATAACTCCAGCCGTGCTTACTGGTAGTTATGTAGAGAATGCTATGTAAATAAAAAACGGTTTTGATATAAAAATGTTTTATTCCTATGAATGGAAAATTTATGGGACACCCTGGTGTAGTAGTTAGTACACTAGCTTACCAGCAAAGGTATCTAGGGTTGAATCCCCAGGGATGAGGCTACCTTCAAACTGTATTCATCTGCTACTAGCATTCATATTTGAAAAAGTCTGTCAGTTATCATCAGGTCCTTCTGTATATAGGTTCTTCTGACTAAATCACGGTACATTTCGGCATAGTTACCTTTAAAATTGGTTACTGGAAACGTTTCCATGTTGCATTGTGTGACATTTTAATATGCTTACAAAGTCCTGTGTTCTAAATGTATTCGTATTACAAATATTGTGAAGTGGATTTACAAAATTTTCAAACTTTGCTGTTAGGTTACAGCAATTTTAATTTTAATTCACGGGAGAGTCGTGTTGTGATGTGTGTGTCACTGTTTCTAGTCAGTAGTTTTGATTTTTGGGAACTGGCTGTTTATTCTTTTTCTACTTTGAATGTATAAATCTTACTTGGGGAAAAATACCAACAGGTAATTTAGAAGCCATATCTAGAGAATATCGACAGTTGTCAGGTGCAAACTATCTTGTGTTGGAAGAAAACTATTGATTTCATATTGACTGTGCATAAATGGTGCAACCACACTGTGGTTAAATTGTGTCAAGATATTTCGGAGCTCTGGGTAAGTGCATAAAAACAATATTTAATTGACTAACTAACCTCTCACAGCAAGTCACTCTTTGCCTCTTTACTAATTGTTGACTAACAGTATAATTATATGTTGTAGAAGTACACTAATAATATTATTATTTTTGTGAATCGACTTCTGCTTCGCAAACACTGGCTGTAAACTCTGGCAGAAATTTCTGGTTTTTCATCTACTTCTTATGCATATTTGCAGTTGTACACGGTCTGTGTTAATTTTTCTTCTTCTTTTTCGCGTTCACCAGCTGTACACTCTGGCGTAAAGTTCTGGTTGTTCGTCCACTTCTGGACTACAGTTCTGCTCCAGAACCTGAGTGTTGCGTGTGCATCAGTTTTACAGATCTGATTCAATTGAATGCAGACTGCTGGTTCCTTGCCTCTCAGGCAGATGCACTCCGACTTCAAAGGAAGCTCCCCAGTCAGTCGACTCTTACGACATGCTTTTGGGGAGGCAATGGGTCTATTCTTGTTTTCCCTACAATAGGGCCCCGGAACCCACACGGGGGTCTTAATTTTTGTCAATTGTCTTCTGCTTCGTGAACACTGGCTGTAAACTCTGGCAGAAACTCCTGGTAGTTCATCTACTTCTTATGCATATTTGCAGTTGTACGTTCTGGGTTAATTTTTGTAAACTGTCTTCTGCTTCGCGAACTTACTTACTTACTTAGTCGCTCCTCTTCTACCTTGGGGTGTAGAGGTTTGCCAGAGAGATCGCCAGACGTCTCTATCAGCAGTTTTCTTTCTGGCTTTGTTCCATTCCAGTCCTCTGTAAGTTAGGGACTGTTGGATGTTGTCTTCCCAGCGCACCCTGGGTCGTCCCGGAGGTCTGGTTCCCTGGTTCTTAGCCTCCCATGCTTGCCATGGTGGCCGATTTTCTCCCATTCTGCATACATGTCCAAACCATCGTAACTGTGACTGATCTACTCGGGTTAGTAAGGGCTGGGTATCAAGATCTTGACGTATTGTCTGATTGCGGACTTTGTCCCTTCTTGTCACTTGGACCACCTTTCTCAGGTATCCATCTCATTTCCGAGGCCTGCAGCTGGCTTCTGTGAGCTGTTGTCATTGCCCATGACTCACACCCATAGGTCATGACTGGTACATAGGTAGAGCGGTAAACAACCATTTTCGTCCTCTTGCCAATTTCTCTTTTGCTAAGAAACCCTCGGTTTATGGCCTGGAAGAGTCTCCCAGCAGCTGCTTTTCGTTGCATTGTGAACACTGGCTGTAAATTCTGGCAGAAATTTATGGTTGTTCATCTACTCTTTTTATGCATATTTGCAGTTGTACGGTCTGTGTTCATTTTTTTAAATTGTCTTCTGTTTCGCGAAAACTGGCTGTAAACTCTAGCAGAAACTTCTGGTTGTTCATCTAATTCTGGGCTTTAGTCTTGTTCAGACACTGTTTTAAACAACAAGATCCTGTATCTATACGGGGAATTTTTGTGTTTGATATGTGTATGTTGCACAGCATTTGCAGTTATTTGGTCTTTTTTAATTTGCTTTAATTACTTTTAAAATAATATACCATTCACGATACTTATACGCGTTGTTGCATGCAGTATTCAGAAATATGTGTAATGTATTTATTTGAAATGATGAGGAATTGATTTCATCCACAAGATGAAACTGGACACATTTGTTTGTGCTGTTTGTACCTTGAGGATAAATATTTAGTAGTGCTATAAGTACTGTTAAGAAAACTGCTCTGGGTGAAAAGTTATTGCATATATCAATTTCATATTGACTGTGCTTGTTTACTAATTATTAAAAAACAGTATAATTATATGTTGTAGTAGTTTACTAATAGTAATAATAACCATCAATCATTTATGTTTATGTTATATATGACGTGTATGTTTCACAGCAGTATTTTTATGCGCTAAATTTGATAAAGTACAAATGTCATCCCTCCCCACACATTGTGCTGTCGTATAGTTTCTTAGATGCTATCTTTCCATAAGTATGGTGTGGCCTTGTGCCATGGGACCAAGACGGAAGTCATGAAGGCCATCCTGGGTGACCCGAAATATTCTTGGTCTTGTGTTAGAACTTCTGTTTTACATACACATCTATTTTACAGATGTGGCTTATCTGTATGCAGATTGTTGGTTCTTAACTTCTCAGGCAGATGCACTATGACTCAGAAGGAAACACCCCTAATTAGTTGCCTCTAACGACAATGCTTGTTGAGGGATAGTGGGTCTATTCTGTTTTCCACCCAATATGAGGCACTGGAATCCACAAGGGAACTGTGCAGTTCAATTTCCAAGAAGCTGATGGCAACTGGGAAGGCAAGACTCATTAAGACCAATGAAGCTGACTGCAAGACAAGCTGTGGAAGACCAGCAGTGACTTCAAATGCACTGTCCTGTTTGTAACCTAGTTAGGACGGAAAGTTTAGCACGGCGGATATCAAATAAAGAAGTAGAAGAAGATGGAAATATGGTAAAGGAGGGAGAGGAGAAGAATGGAAAAGGTAACTCATAAGGTTTGGAATTACACCGACAACAAACAATAGCTGTACACTCAAACAAACTCACTGAGGAAAGAATGCTGAGGCTGTAAGCTCCTGTCTACTGGAAGCTGAGGGCTTCTGGGAAGGGTACGATTCAGTGGATGTTTCTTGTGGTGGAGAAGAGAGTGTAGAGACCTGTTCCAGTATCTCATTGTAAATGACCACAAACTGTCGCAGAGTGAGAAGCCTTGATGATTCTATGACATTTGTGTTAGTATTGATCTGTAAAGGAAGATGTGACTGAATAAATCAAACTTTTGTTAGCACTTTATCCATCTTTCCAGATGATAGTCTTCTTTTTCCACCAGCTGTAAGTTCTGAGATAGTTTTACACTCTGCTCTAGCAAGGCATGGAAATTCTTGTTCTTCTTTGACCACCCGCTGTAAGGTCTTAGACAGTGTTATACTCTAGGAAGGCATGCAAATTCTTTTTCTTCTTTGTTCCCTAACTGTAAGCTCTGGAAGAAAGTCTTGGTTGTTTGTCTATTTGGACTTTGGCTTTGTGTCAGGGCCTGAGTTTTGGTGTACATCCGTTTTACCGGCTTATTTGTGTGCAGCTGGCTGTTTCTTGCTGCTCAGGCAGATGCACTCTGATTTCAAAGAAAGCCTCCAGTTTGTCGACTTTTATGACATGCTTGTTGGGAAGGCAGTGGGTCTCTTCTTGTTTTCCCCATAATGGGGCCCCGGAACTGATAGAGGAATGCAGATTTGATGTCAATACTTTAAATATGAAAAATCCATCTTTTTAGTGACTTCGGGATCACAATGAAACAATAAATGGCAGGCTTGCCCATCTGCTCGGTAGACTTACGTGGTCAAAGATTTTTCTAAAAATTACCAAGACTAAACTTCTTCTGCTTCTTCTTCTCTTTCTCTATTTTCTTATGGCAGAGTTTCAGAAAATGTTCACGATGGGTTCTTTTTAACAAAAGTTTGAGAAAAGTGTCATTGTTTCAGAGTTTTTTGTTTTTTTTTTTTTTTTTTTTGTTTTTTTTTTTTTTTACAGGACCCTGCAAATTAACTTCAGCATTTGTTGTGGTTTTACTGGGCAATTTTACATTCAGTTTGCCACTGTGTTTCAAACGGTCAATACTAATATCACTGATGAAATTAACAAAAGGTGATTGACTGCCAAATCAGCTACAGCGGAATCAAACCCAATATGTAAAGATTTTAAATTTCATTCATAATTCTTAATCCACAGATGCCACCCACCTACCTTTACTTCCTGTTAATTAAGACAAAGATATTTTCCCTTTTACAACTGATGTACCGTTACTATGACTAATGCGTGCTCTAATCTTTTAATTCCCATCATCATCAAACGGCAGGTCTTCTACAGAACGTCACTCTTGTCACAGCATGCCTGATAGCCTCTCTTTCTCCAGCGAATTCTCCCACCCTATGTGCTTCATAGTTAGTGCATCTTCTATATATTGTACCTACCTTCTATAAGTTCAGCCTCTATCTCATTTTCCTGCAGCCTCCCTCAACGCTATCTGCAGACCCCCATGATGTTCAACATGACCAAACTATTTCAGCTTTCGGAACAGGATGCTGTTTATGAATCAATTTACCTCGATGTTCAGATCAGGTAGAATGTCTGTGTTTTTTATCTTCTTGGTTCTAAGAATTTTCTCTGTGACATTTCAGTTTAAAAGATCCCATTTTTTTTCCCCACAGCATTAGATAAATATTACCTTCAAACAACGTATCCTGATGGTTCCCTTTCCAAAGAAAAGTGGTGTCTGACCCTTTCTTTATGATAAACCTCAACTGTTTGCCAGCCTTGTCTGTGAAGCTGCGAGTTCTGAAGAGAACAGAAAGATGGCCAACATGTTAAATGTTAGAACTACCAACAAATTTAATAATTCAAATAGTCTATTCACACATATGTAATTAAAAATTTAGGAAGGTAACAGAAAACCATCACAATTCCCCCCCCCCCCCCCCCCCCCCCCCCCCCCCCCCCCCCCCAAAAAAAAAATACAAAACCAAATGTATAGGCTCCAATATTTATTAATAAGGTCATCATCATTATCATCAAACAGCAGGTCCTTAAAGAACAACACTCTTGTCCTGGCACACATGAAAGCCTCTCTTTCTCTAGCCTATTGTCCAGCCCTATGTGCTTTCATAACCAATGCATCTTCAATATATCGTACCCATGTTCGTGGAGGTCTGCCTCTGCCTCAATTTCTGGAAACTGCATCCTCCATCACATTAGCTTTAACATGGTCAAAATACCTCAGCTTTCAGGACAGGATGCTGTTTGTGAGCCAATTCTCCATGATGCTCAGATCATACAAGATGTCTAGGATGAACATGTAGAGGTGCGGACAGACCCTGATCAGTATGCTTGTGCTAGTGCATCACTATGTGTGTTTTCAGACCCCTCTGCATCCCTAGAGAGGAATGAAACCTATATTAAATGCCCAGGTTGGCTAACATGGTAGTCGCCATGCTGTTCATAATGCACTATGTGTATGAATAAACACTACTTTTTCATTAAAAAGTAATCAATAAACATTCGGCACAGCCGTCCATGCATGTACCAATCATGTACTGGGTCACACCTGCTTTCCTTTTTTGTCAGCTTGCATTTATGTATAGAAATGTTTGATCTGTAAAAGATACCAGACAGGAAAGTGACTGAAGTGAGCTGTGGGTCTGTTATTAATTTGTTGCATGATTTCATCTTGTCACTAGCTGGTCATATCTTCTTCTTCATCTGTGTTTGCCTGTTTGCCCTTCTAGAAGTGTAGACAAGTTGAGCTGTGATTTTTCAACACCGCCAGATATCTGTGCCTGTCAGCCCAACATATCAGATTTTAGCAAACTTTTAAATAGTTATTTTTACAACATGTTTGTTAAATGGCTGTGAGTTTTTGCCCCTGCCCCCTTTCCAGTCACCCTTTAAAGGATAATGGCAGAGGAGAAGGAATAATAAGAATAAGAAGAAAAAGAAGAAGAAGAAGTAGAAGAAGAAGAAGAAGAAGAAGAAGAAGAAAAAGAAGTAGAAGAAAGGATGAACATGTGATCCAAACAAAAGAAACCAAACAAAGACTCATACACCATGTTAAGCTCCTCAATGCATTCCACAAGCTCTGCGTGTGTGACGGTGGCTAAACTCTTGATAATATCAAAATGTGCCATCAACTTGCTGTGCAGGTGACCTAGATCTCCTTCAGATGCAGATGATGTGCTCGGTGACTGACCCATCTTTCTTCTCTGCTATTCTGGCAACATGCAGTGCAGCAATAACTACATGGCCACTAACAGAAGAGATGACAGGAACATGTAAATAAATCTGATCAATTACATTCTATATTCTGGAATTCCTCAGTGCAATAAGGCGTGTCCTTTATGAAGTGGTCAAGCTATTTGCCTTATGATCTGAAGATCCCGGGGTTTGTTTCCTGGACTGCATTGTTCGTTTCATGTATGCAGTTTTCCACATACCTGGTGACTGTCACTAGAGCTGCAGAGTTTATGCTTTGTGTGATGCTCTGTACTTATCATGAACCCGCCCACATGGCAAGAGTTGCTTCCTTTCCCATTCATGACGTGGCGGGTCGCACATTCTGTCTCATGTTGGGGGAGGTGGGGGGGAGGGGTATCATGTATTCCTTATTTTCAACAGTTTAACCGTTGTCTCTTTTCTCATGTTGTCATTGCTGCTAGTGTGATTATTTCCACGTTGTGCTACCTGCCCCATGGTTCGGGAGTGTGGGAATTATGAAACAATGATTTTTTATTCCTAAGTTCCTTGTCAGTGGCTTCTTTTTCTGGAACGCCAAGGAATGTAGAAACACAAAAACATCCCAGTTTCAATACTCACGAACACCCTTCTGCATTTCCCCCAGTCTGCGATGCCTCAAAGAGACTCACAAAAACAAAACCTCCCACAAACATTATATACAGAGAGCAAGCGCCGAAGGAAGCCATCTCGTAACACCCCCACAACACAGGACATGCCGTGCACCTGCCATGGCATGAACAGAAAGGGAAGGAACTCTCGTTGTGCAGGCCAGTTTGTGATAAGTTCTTGATGCTCTCAACAGGCATCTAACCATTCTTCAGATTCAGACTGAGCCATATGGGATAAAACCTGGTGCAATGAAATCAATCCTCCCAACCTCAACTTTTTAATGGTTTGTTGTGAGTGACCATGTCTGGCACTGGTAGCACAGAGTTGGAATAAATATGCTTTGAATAAGATGTCTCTTTGTGCTAATTGGGATTGTCTTATGCTGTAAGAGGGGGGCTAGCTGTCCCAATACTTGGTTTGCTTTACTGCATCTAATGTCAATTTCTTTATCCAATTTCCCATCTTCGGTAAATGTAGTTCCCAGATATTTAAACTCAGATGCATGTTTAATGCCTTTGTATTTTATTGCTATGTTTAGATCTGTCTTCTTTTTTCCTATTGACATTACTTCTGTCTTTTCAGTGTTGATTCTCATATTATTTGTTTTACATTCTTTATTCATGGATGTTAGATGTTGCAATTTCATGGCTGTATCTGCTATCAAGGCCTGGTCATCTGCAAAGAGTAATTTGTTGATCTTACTAAGATCTTCATTCATGGGCTTGGCATTCTTGCATATACTGTTGATGTAGGTGATAAACAGCAGTGGTGATAAGACACACCCCTGTCTTACTCCAGATGTCACTATGAAAGGATGAGATGTTCCCTGATTTATTCTAACTACACTTCTACAATCCCTGTATAAACTTTTGCACACTTCGATGAGGTGTTCGCTTACTCCATATCTTGCCATTATTTTCCATAATAATTACTTCATAACTGCCAGGTGCAATTTATAACTGCTGAATGGGATTTCTAGAATTTCAGTAAACAGTGCAGAGGCACAAATTGATCATTTTGGTCTGAAGAGAATGATGTTGCAAGGAATTATTAGGGGATCTGGCCAACGCTCAGCACTTAAGGAAATATACAAGAAGGACATACAATCACGCTGTTACTGGTATTATTGAAATTGGAATTCTGCGCTTGCTGCTGAATATGCGAAATGAGCCCATCTAGGAATGTCCAGAGAGCTGTAATGTCAATTCTTGATACAACATTTAGCATTCTAGTATTTGCTTCTGTTTGATTTCAATCAGACAGTGGCTGTCTAGTCACTGGGTATAATCCTACAGGCGCCAATGCCAGAAGGAAACCTTTTTTTTTTAACCTTAAACACAGCTCATGGGGGAAGGGGGCGGGGAAAGCCAAAGCATCCATTTGGATAAGTAGACACTTCAAGGATGCCCTTTGCTTTTAGCAAGTGTACATCAGAGAAAGGTGCTCACAAACTCAAAAGACTGCTATGCTAAAAGCTGAGGATGTAAAGTCCTGTGGATGTTGAAAGCAGGAAATTACTACACTAAGCATCACAAGAAAACATCATGGCAGCCCTAAAAAAAATGTTCAAAAGACAAAGATTTGATGATGAGGGCTTCAGGCCAGGCTGACGCCATAAACTGGTGCCTGCACATTCCAATACTGCACATCAATGAGACATGTCTGATGTCCAGGTCACAGCTATTAAATCTGGGACATCTCATGAAAGAGATATTGACTCCTCCTACTGAGGAAGAAGATGGAGCACTTGTTGGAATGTCTCAAGTGTAGGGAGGTCAATTCTTGATTCATTCACAAAAGAGATTGTAAGACTGAAAAATTTTTATTTAACAGTTACATTTTACAAATTTCTATCTGGGTTTCACAGCCAGACTGTGGGGAAAACAAGAACCATTCCCAATGTCTCCCCAACAAGCATGTCATAACTGGGGGTTTCCTTCAAAGTCAGGGTGCATCTGCCTAAGAGGCAAGGAACTAGCGGTCTGCATACAAATAGGTCAGACCTGTAAAACGAATGTGCATGCAACACTCAGGTTCTGGAACAAGTCCAAAGTCCAGACATTTATGAATAACTAGAACTTTCCGCTGGAGTTTACTGACAGTGAACGCCAAGAAGAAGATGATTTTACCAATTTTTTATTTTTAAATAGTTTTATTCTCTCTCCCCTTATTTGTCTAACATCTTCCTTTATGCATTTACCATTTACTTCCTCTTTGTTGCCTCACTGTAGAGATTTTTTTAATCTTGTTTTTAATCTATTTATTTTACTTACACCTTCACTTCCTAATAATATCACTCCTGGCAACTGACATAGGGAGCTGGTTGGTTACAGTTGTTTATATTAATATAAGCAATGACGTTAACATCAACAGACTAATTTCTCTCTCTCTTTCTTCTAAAAAATTGTTAGTTTACATATTAATGTTCATGTCTGAGCAGGTCTTTTTTTTTTCCTAGGAAAAAAAATCTGCTGGTACTTTACTCACCAGAAAGTGTTAAATAAAGGTGACACCGCTCAAAGTCTATTCCAGTGACGTAACAGTGTCTACAGTTTAACAGCATAAAGGTGTCCAAGTAGCGGTTCTGCGAACCATTAAAAAAAACATTCCTGGTCTGAGGTGTTAATATAAAATAACTTTTTAGACAGAAGGGGTTTGAGTATTAGTAAGAATTGGGGGCCAGGGGTTCAGTGTCACAACTGGATAGGACACAATACCAAGAAGTAGATAGATAGTTAGTACATCTGAAATTAACAAATGCTTGGTTAATTTGTTGGTAGTGAATGAGTCAAGTAGTAAGGTTGTGTGGTTTTCCTCGTGCTCTAAAGCTGGTGGGTTCGTTTCGTTCACTGCGTCGTTCGGTTCACGAGTGCAAATCTTTACGGATATCTCTAGGGATCGTCACTGGAGCTACGGAGTTCGTATTTTGCTGATGCTCGCAGCAATCGGTTTGCCGTTCTGTAGAGATAGTCACAGGGATAAAACACAGTGAACAATGAATGGGATCGTCTCGCCTTTAAACTTAAAAACTAACAACTGAGTTGTCAACGCTTCTTTAGGTCACAACAGGTGACAGTCGCCTTCTCTCGCTTATTGACTGGTTAATGAATATCCATATTTTTTTTAACTGCACTGTAGTTATTTTCTTTTTAAGGACATTTTCATTTGTAGGAATACGCAGTAAGTTTAAAAGAAGAAAACCAATGTCAAAAACCAGAAATGTACACCCACCGTCGTCGAAGATTTTTAACGGAAGTTTATGTGGTTAGTTTAAAAAGATGAATCTGGGGGAACGCAATAATATTTTGAGAACTAACACATATTTTATAACACGTTTACTGCTTATTTTATTGATTACAATAATCGAATACATAGCATAGAGAGCATTCCCATGGATGCTCTGCCTCCCGCAGCAATAGAGTCGATGGTGACTTTACCAGCGGTATTCTGTGTGCACCTATCCTTTACAGGAGGTCGCAGAAACAACACCATCATTTTTTGGCTGTTGTGGTTTTTCTAGGCAAGTTTACTTCCAGTAGTTTGCCATTGCTTTTTTAACGATTAGCTTTTCGATACCACTGTCGAAACCAACACTGTGCTACCAGTGCCAGACTTTGACATTATCTTATGAGAAGAGGGAAAATGGAACATGTTGTGACCACTGGAAAGATCTGTGGAAGGTGAGATAGAGAAAGACATCGAGAGAAGATTCTTGACAGTCTTGTTGAATGGCAATATATATATATATATATATACATCATCAGGTGCCTTGCCGACTGGCATGGGCGATCATGCCTCGCCGCAATCTGCTATCTCCTGTAGCATGTTTCAGTTCGTGTGCCGACACACCTCAATGTCATGCAACAAGAATGTCAAGAATCTTCTCTTGTTGTCTTTCTCTATCTCACCTTCCACAGATCTTTCCAGTGGTCACAACATGTTCCATTTTCTTTATATGTAAATATATATATATATATATATATATATATATATATATATATATATATATATATATATATATATATATTAGAGCCGTACCGAATATTCGCTTCGGGGCCGAATAGAGGACCTATTGACTATTCGGTATTCGGCCGAATAGTTGCAGTCGGGCCGAATACGAATAGTAGTTACCTTACACCCGCTTCTGCATACACGGCCTTAATGCTGACAACATGGAACAATTGGTTTTGTTGAAGGCTTATGCAGCTTTCATGCATTAACTAAGCTGTCAGTGACAATTTCCAAGTTTAGTTACTCGTTATTATACTTAGGATTATTTCATTCCTAGTTATTAGTTACCACAGACTGACTGAAGGATGCAAAACATTAAATATTTTTAAATGTTAACTAT